GCCCTCTTCCCTCTGTACTTCCCTCTTGGCAGCGTCGTTTGTTCCCGCCCTGTTGACTTCCCTCTTGCAGAATTTAAGGTGAAGCGAAACACCCTTCAAATCAGTCTATTTGAATGCAACACTTTTTTTAAGGGTATTAGACCAAACTGTCCGAAACTCTGACGCATCACTCCTGATCATCTAAGAATTGTCCTGACACATTGAAAATTTGGATTTTTCAAAAAAATTGTTTAACTCAACCGAGACCAAAATCAAAATGGCGTCGAGCTCTCATATTTCGATCAATATACAATTATCGAAGGCTCTGATATGAGAAACGAAAGGGTCGGGACAATTTTACGACAATTTAGAACACTCTGGTAATCGATAAACTCGCAATTACACTACTCATTGCAGGTAATGAGGGGCCTTCACGAGTGTAATTTCAGTCGTGTCGGGACTTCTCCTAGGACCTCCACAGTGACGTGTTAAATTCCCAATCGATTATTCCCACGCAGTCAGGAGAAAAGTGGTAAAACCCAGTCTAGCATCCCCTTAACCTTAGTTAATCGCGCCGATTTAGAGCGGAATATCCCGGGATTTACGGGAGGCCGCGGTAACGGGTGACGCGAAATTAAAACCGCCGCCATGATGGCAGACATTCGTCAGCGCGTTCCCTCGCGTCGGATTTTCCGCGCAATTATTGCGGCCCGGGGCCGGACGCGGCCTGCGGCACGGCACGTCCGCCCGACGTCCCGACGCCGGTCGACGGACGTCCCGATCGACGCGCCCGGAAAATCCTGGTCGCGGGGAACATGACGGCGGTGTGACGTCGCGTGCGCCGCCACGATGGAACGATACCGCGACGCGGATGCCGCCGAGATCTATGCGTCATTCCCGCCGCGCCTATTTGTTATTTTACTCTTTCGGTGGACGCGCTCATTAATCAAAGCCTCTCGTCTCTTTACCTGGCACTCTGCATTTTTCATCCCCGCCGAGCAAGCACGCCCCTACGCCGACGCGAAGTAGGCCGCCATTACGGTCCCCATTGATACCGATTATAGGTTATGGAACGCCAAAGGGTTGACATTAACCCCTTAACTTGTGCGAGTTAATTCGAGCGCGCTAAACAGGCCAAACTGTGCACCCTGGAGATAATTCCAGCGGCGTTGTATTTTACGATACTATAATTTTTCACACTAGAATATTATCCAGAATTTTATTTTTTTCCCCAAGACAATGTTCTAGTGTTTTTTTTCTTACATAAAAAAAATTGATTTTCTTTGGCCGGTTTTTTTTGTTTAATTCTATGCGCGGAACTTGCGAAGTAGACCGCCATTACTGTTCACAGTTGTAACGCTTATAGGTTAGGAAAGCAAATATATTATATAATAATTGATGTTGAAATGAAGGGAAAAAATGGAAAAAGGAAATTCCGCTGCGTGTTGAGGATGGGTGATGTACCGGCATGGATGGGACGGAAATTATTTTCCGCGAGTAAGGAAAAGCGAAGCGCTTTTCCTCGAGAGAATCGTGTGATCCGGGAAAAGGAGGGTAAAAGTCGTCGGCGGGAGTTTCGTTAAAACCGGGAAAAGGTCTCAAAGAATCTTACGAGCAGCCATGTTTGAACGAAATGCTCCTGCAAAGTCGAGGATGCTCCTTTTCGCTTTCTCTTTCTTTGGAAGCCCGGCTTTTCCGACACTTTTCTCCGCTTTTACGAGTGGTAAAAGCCGCGAGGATCAGAAGGCATGCTCTCGAATACGCGGCTCCGTTCCGATAAGATGACTGGCAAGAAGATCCTTTGAATGCGACCCTTCGCATCACCTCGCGAAGATCCTCTGACAAAACAGAGTCTGAATGGTCGATTTCGAAGGATCTCCGTTGATATCCTTTACTATCCGAGTGATAGATTCGACCTGGCGAAGAAACCATCCTGGGCAAAGCGTCGTTTTCGAAAATTCTCACATACAAAACGTGAGGTGGAAGTTCCGCGCGACGCGGATTCAAGATGGCCGACCGCGAGGCACCCGTATAGAGACTTCCTGTTAAACAAAACGTCCGAACGAGACTTTGCCAACGAGACCCGTCCTAATGCCTCGAATCCGGCAATTTCCTGCCCCCCAACTTCCGGCCCCTCGTCGATGCGCCATCCGAAGCTCCCGATACTTTACTCGACATAAATACGACTCCCTTGTGGCTTGTGGTGAAAAATGCCTCGAACAAAAGTTCCGAGGTACACCATGACGAACAACTTTTGTGGGAAACGTTTCCTTCTAGGACGTACCGTTTAGGAGGAAAACCCATAGAAAGAACGTTAAAAGTAATCACCGAACACAGGTTGAAGGCCAATTTAATATGCATTATAAATTTCTAATTATAATTCTACGTCAGATTTATTATCCCGTGAAAGTGTCTAGGAGAATTAACATCGTTCTTTAACTAAGTCCATAAAATATCTCGATGAGAATAAATTTTACAAAATTAATACACCACATCCGAAGCTCTGAACGAACTTTTGTCTTATCAGTGCGACGTGTGAATTTTACATCGGGTACTCGTGGCAGCAAACGGAATTTAAAAAAGCTCCTCAACTTTAATTTCTTTCAACGAGTCCATCATAACTCGCAGAAATGACGGTAATCAGTGCGTACCTATGCCACACGAAAATGTCAAACGGCTTAATTTGAGCGATTAACGGCAATTCCGCACGATCCGAGGACTGATAGGAGCTTCGGCAAAGTGATAATAAATTCCTCGAAGCCCGACACGGGATCCTGGAAGTCCTGGAGTCCCGGCCGAACCCGTGCCGGGATTCCAGGACGTCCCGCGGGAATCCTACGTTAAGCTGCGATAATCCCGCGTCGTTTTTTTCCCCGCAGGAAAAGGAGCACCTCTTTTCCTACCGGGAGAAAGAGCGATTTCCTCCTTTTACCATTTCTCCCGTTTCCTCCTGGCTGTCCCTTCTACTCCAGCCGAGTCCGACTCTATCGATCTATCGAACCGTCGGCTCCCGGAAGTCCGGGATCGATCCTTGAAACCGTGCCCAATCATCTGCTCGTTCGAGCATCCGGTCGGGCTTTTTCCGCTTCCTCGAAAACCAAGTTTCTTTCCCGAATGGATATTACAACCCGGAGGAAAGGAAATGTGGACGAGAGGTCCGAATCCTTTTCCCGGATGCTGGATCAGGGAAGGCTTCTAAATCATTTTTCCTATGCGCATCTCTAAGCGTTCTTCTCATTTGTTAGGATAAACGCGATTCCAAGTGATACAAGTCGTCTAAAGTTTAGTTAAAGGTGATGGGAAAGTGGCGTCAAATGATTTTATGAAACTTTTCTCCAACCTAAGTGTACTGATTCGTTTCAAACTCGACAATATAAGCATGGAGACTATAACGAAGCTCCTAACACCCATAAAATTTCAATTTTTTCCAAATTTATTATACATATCTTCAAAATTTTTTATAAAAAATGAAATTTCATCAGTGCCAGGACGTTCCTTATATCCTATACTCCCATAAAATTTCAATTTTTTCGAAGTTTATTATACATATTTTCAAAATTTGTTATAAAAAATGAAATTTCATCAGTGCCAGGACGTTCCATGTATATGTAGGATATATATCGGCTGACTTTTTCATATCTCCTAAAATGCATTTACTCCAAGTTCATTTCTGGAATTCACCTACTCTCTTCCAGTGACGTCTGGACGGAAAACCCGAAATTCCGCGTCCGGGGAGCGAAGGAAACGTCGAGTCAGCGAAGACGCGTCCACGTTATATCTATGGAACATCTACCGTATATCTACCGTACAATGAACGTTTTTCCATACACGTGTCTGCCACCCCCGAGACTCCCCCATAAATTCGCACATGCGACCCGCTGGTGCGGCGAATACACGGCCGCTTTGCGTTACACATTTATCCGACGTAGGTGCACTTCCGGTTGCACGAGAGCCCCAGCCATCGGGCATCCCGGAAGTGGGAATCGATACTCAATAGTCGAGTGTGCGTTATGGGGGGGGGGGGCTTTGCCACTACCGGAAATGGAGTTTCCGCCCCTAGGCGAGATCCCCACCGAAAGGAAAGCGAGCTTAATCTACCGAGAAGGAAATTAACTACTCTTGTACAATTTTCTACAGATTCGGTCAATGAGATAGAGCCTTTAAGGCGATGCCAAAGTGCCGCCAAAGAAGTCCGATGAAATTCTTTGGGACCTCTTCGAGGTCTCCAAATTGAGTCCTGGGTTTAAACCAAGACCTGAACCACAAGGATCCATGGTCCTGGATTTCGGTTTTCCGGGCTTGGATCTGTCGGAAGTGGTTCCATATTCGTGGCTCGCTTCCCGGGGTCAAAACCGCAGCTTCGTTACTGCATAACGAAAATGCATCCGACGCGTCGTGATGCATCCGAGGCCACCTCTGCGCCCCAAAGAGGTGTGACATAAATTTTAAATCATCACTCCGGTTCGCATTAATCCTCCGCCCTCCTTGATGGAAGTAATTATTCTTCCGTCCCTTAACAATATACTTCCACAGGGTGCTTTCTCTTTTCGAGCGTCGCTCCTCATATGCCCATAACTTCCCAACGGTACGGAATTTCAAAGAAACGCCCTAAACAAATTTTCTTCGCAATACGTTATGCGATAACTTTTGTCCGAGACATTTTTCAATATCTCGAAGGGTTAAGCAAGAAAAACCATTGTGTTCATCGCTTCCACCTTACTGCGTTCTCCGTTTTCTAGCGCAGCTCTTCATACGCCCATAACTTTCTAACGGTACGGAATTTCATAGAAATGCCCTAAACAAATGTTGTCCGCAATGTGTTGTACGGTAACTTTTGTCTGAGATGTTTTTCAATATCTTGAATAGTTAAGCCAGAAAGCCATAGTCTCGGTCGTCGCGATGCGCCGTTACTTTGTCGCTGTTGTTCCCGTGTACTGTACTCGCCGGTGCGGAATATTGTCTTGAAAATTAGAGGGACTTGGGAAATGAACTTTCATTAATGAAATTCTTCCCTGTTTCAGTGCGGGAGGTGACGCTATCGGAGCTGAGAGACTCCGTAGCGAGGTTACGAGACCGCGTAAAGCTGGTCTGCAGGACGAGAGGGTCGCCACCTCCCAGAGTGCATTGGCTCAAAGATGGCGTGTCTCTGCAGCCCCGACGGGGTCTAAGGATCCAGCACAAACGGTAAGCCGACGGTCTTATTTCTAGCCCCAATCCCCGGGCCTGTAATTTCCCTCCTGCATGGAAGTTTCCTCGTCACGGGCCGAACCGGGCGAAAGTTCCAGTGAAATGGCGGATTTCATATCTGAAACATGAAAGTGGGCGCGTCCAGGGCGATACACCCACTGAAGTGCACCTGGGAAAAACTGCTAGGAATAGATTAAATCTCCCTAGCTTTCGTGCAGGGAAAGGGTTGAAAGATCATTTCAATTAGATATTAACAAAATTTGTTGATGCAAAAGTGGCGACACACTGACCTCGTTTATTTAACTTTTTTATAAACTGGGTGTATCGAATCATTTCAAAGTCTGCAACGTGAATATGGAGGCTATAGGGAAGGTCCTGAGACCCTTGAAGTTTCAATTGTTTAAAAATTTACTTATAGGTGTTTAACATAATTTTTCATTAAAAGTGAAATTTCGAGGGATCCCCTCGGATGCCACTTTATTAACTTTTAACATTTGCAAATTAGTAATTCAGTGTGTTAACTGTTAGATTGCTTAAAAGTTAGCTAATCGCGATATCGTGTCACGTGATCGACTGCGTAAAGACGCCGCGACGCCGCGCTAAGGCGTCGCCTCGATGTCGTTGGCGCACGATGACGTCGACGTAACGAGTGTCCCGGAGATGACTCGATCCTTGGCATAGATCCGATCGTATAATTAAAGACGAATCGTGACTGTGCACAGAACGCGCCGCCAGGCGTTCCCCTTTCCCTGAAACGGAAACGCGAAACGCCCCCGTCGGAGAGAGGGATGAGTAATGAATTTTTTTTATTTCCATTTTCTGGAAACCTCCGCTCCCTCCGCCTAGAAAATGGATATTCCAAGTGTCCCTCGACCTCTTTCCCGGATATGAAGCTGTAACACGGCCCAAACTTCTGTTTTTTTTCCCCCTGAAAAAGAGCCAACCCTTTCCGGACACTCTTCCCCCGCAATTACTCTACCGAGTTATTCGTTAATAACGAATTACGATAATTACAGCCGTACCTAAAAATATTCCTTACTCGTCCTAAATCATAAAAGGACACGCATGAACATTAACTTGGCTCTTGAGCTACTCTCCTTTAAAAAACCCGCGCAGTTTAAATTGCTTTCCTTTAGTTCGACGCTTACTTCGGTATAAATTAATTCAAATGATAAAGATTAAAAATTAGATCAGATTATTTGATACACGTAGGTTCTAAATCCCGGAAAATGGTGTCGTTTCCATTAAATATATTAAATATGTAGGGGAAAAATATGTTAAACGAGAATATCTAAGGGGTAGGTCAGCGCCTCCACTGTTGGGCCTGAAAATGATGGAAAATGACGGAAAATCATTTTTCCATCATTTCCGCCGAGATGCCGACGACGGGGAATTCTTTTTCGGGACCCTCGAGGCTGGATTGAGGTAAAAAAAAAAATTATAAGGAGGGAAGCAGATTTGAAGGAGGAAAAGGGGACTGGTGGCGCAGTCAGCGTCCTGGCTTGGAGAAGTCACATCGGCGCCGAGGGTTAAGGGGGGCGCAGCTTTGATGTCGCCGGAAATCGAGTTTTTCCCCAAGACGCAGAGGAAGACCTTTCCCCAAGGGGTGTATAAGGGAGGTCGGAGCTTTCGGTACCTTTGAGAGCTTAATCCGCGAGTTCTCTCGCGGATGCAGGGCCCGCAATTAACTTAAAAGCTCCAAAGCTCCCGCCAAGGAATTCAGACGCGAGTTCCATAGGTCTGGGGAAACTTGGAAGCTCATTCGTCCGTTTTATTAAAAAGAAAAAAAAAACATGGGAATTGAAAGTAGATAGCGCGCTTTGATACGCCCTTAAAGGCTCCTAACCGCAGATCGGCGGCTTAAGGAGGTGTAATTTCGAAATCAGGAAAGCACAGAAAGAAAGGAAATATTTTTTAACTATCTCCTTCCGCGGATTGCAAGCTTACGCTTCCGCCCTTAACGGTTAAGGGGGGCGGAATCTTAACCGAGATCACCGTCGAGGTAACGAAGGTAAAAGAAAAAACATTGCCAGTAAGTTTCCATCAGAAAGTCGTCAGAATTGCGAGTTACGAGTTTCGAGGACCCCTTAAAGGCTCCTTAAGGCGGCTTAAGAAGGGAAAGTCTCGCCGGCAGGGATCAGGAAATGCGGAAAAGAAGGGAAACGTCCTTTAACGATCTCATCCCCTTGATGGCGAGCTTAGAACACGTCCCTAACTGTTATGGGAGGTCGAAGCTCGACTCGAAGGAACCAATGGGAGGAGTCCTGACCCCCAGCGGAGCCATCGGCAATGGGTACTTGAGCTTGCACCAGAAAAGCACACTTCCGGCCGCGTGTATTCCGTGCTTCCTGAATGCGAAGGACTATCTCCTATCGGATTTCCGCAAGCGCGGGCCCACGCGGGGCAAAAAGCACGGCAGGGCCATTAGGTTATTGCGGATCCGCGGAGAGCTTACGAGCTTGCGAGTATTGGGAGCTCGCGATTTCCCAGCTGCACTTCAGCCTGGAAAAACTTCGATCGACGCGTGAATTAAACCTCGCCAGGTGGCAAAAGCTCGGGAAGGGGAAGAAGGGGCGAAAGCTCCGCGGAAATGGAGGGTGGGGGTGAAAGCTCATGGGAGGCGATAGGAAAACAGGGAATAGTCGATCGGATCTGCTTTATTACTCTTCTCTGCCTCGTGGGGAAATATGCGACTTCCGGCCACGGCGCGGAAATGGAAATCGTTGGCCAACCGGAAATATACACTTCAAAGATGTCGACGCATGTGTCGAGGGAATTTCCGGGGGGAAAAAGAGAAGGGAATTGTTTCCCGAAGTCATTGGAAAATTCTCACGAGGAATGGCTTTGCTGGCAATGGTTCGGTCTCTCGTGGGGTCTTTTACATTTTTCCAACTTCCGTCCTCTACGTATTTCCGGAATTGTCGAGGATTACCGACATCCTGGATCGGCGCCCGGCAGGGAGTATCCAGGAAAATGAACCAGCTTAATGGTAAAAAGGCCGGAACGAAGAGCCCGTAAAAGCTTGAAGTCCTAAAACCATCAGCTTGGACACGCGAAGTCCCCATTTCGGAATCCCCGTAAAAGCTTCCCAAAAAAGTATTCAGAAAAATGGTACGTTCTTTTAAATCGAGCCGACTACGATTAGCAACAAGGCTGCACGTATTAAATATTGCTTATACCCTGAAAAAAAATAAAAAGTTGGTCGGCGCGAAGAAAATCTGCATTGCTGCGACTAAATCCTGCGATCAGATGCCAGGTAGAGTGAATACAGAAAGTTGGTTAAATTCGTTTAAATCAACGATTTTTCTTCTAGACAATATAATTTTTTCTTGCAAGATTAAATGGACGAGCAATGAGTTCACTGATTAAATAACGTATTCCGTCATTTTGGGTGTTTTACCATTTATTTCCGTAGCGATGGTTGTCCCCCCTGTGTCGCTGCATGCAAATGTCCGCTTCATGGCAAGCACTAATCCCCTAGTCGCTAGGGGAATCGGTTGTCGAAAGCGTAATAAAATTATATCACCGGCACGTATATTGCACAAGGGACATCTCTGGTGAGAAGCGTCCATGGGAAGCTTCGTATCTTGGCTTCTGATCAAGTTCCACCCATTTCCACTTTCTCGTTCTCGCATACTCCCAATGTCTCCGTGAAGCATTTCGAGTGAAATGATTAGATACTGATAGTGCATTGTATGCATAAAATAGATCATCATTCGGAGATTCCCTCCTTGGAAACGATCCCATATTTCACGTCACAAGATGCAATTTTCAAGAACCTTCTGAATAAAAGTCTTACAATTTACATGAATTTAACGGCAGCCATCTTGTGCAAACTAGTAGCGGAGGAAAAACTCATTCGTTCTTGCGTCTGGTACCAAATACAGTGTCAAAATCGCGTTAGAACAATTTTATAAAATATTCGAAGCCTTTAAATTAACCTTGTTCAATATGGCGTCGGTACAGGCACCTCGATCGACACAACGTGATATTGAAACGGCATCCGAGCGGCGGCCATTTTGTGCAGACTCGTAGCAGAGGAGAAACACATTAATTCTTGCATCTAATACGAAATATAGTGTAAAAATCACGTTAGAACAATTTTATATAGTATTCGAAGCCTTTAAATTAACCTAGTTCAACATGGCGGCAGTGCAGGCACCTCGTCGCGTTTCTGGTTCGATTCGAGCGCGTCGATCGACACGGGCGGCTCAATCGGTAACCTTCACAAAGGCCACGTAACGTTCAATACAAATTCCCTCGATTCTTTTGTCTTTTACTCGGGCGTAAAGAGCTTTGGAGCGCGCTCTGTCGGTGAGCACAATCGCCGGGGAGCTTTCAATCCCGAATGGAGTAGCATTCTCGGGATCCTCGGTGTACAAGCTGCTTCTTAGTCGAAAGGGCTCTTTTCCGGAAATCGGCGCGGGGCTCGCAAGATGGCGGCGGATTTCGCGGACCGGAAGCTCCGACTCGCATTTCCCGGACGTTACTCGCCAAACCCGGCCGTGTCGCCGCGAGTTTATCGCAGGTCTCGTTACGACTCACGCGATAAACCTTACGACTGGCTGACATCCCGACGCCGACGCCATTACTGTCCGACGCCCTTACAATGCCGGCCAAATTGTTCCCAGCAGGGCACACGGAAGGGTGCCTCCGAAACTGGACCTCCTCGTAAAGTCCCGACTATCGCTGAGGGAATTGTCCGGGCAATGCCTCCGATGTATCATCTTTACCTTTAAGGCGGTATGAAAGTACTTTCCGAGGGATCAATTGTTCATGACACTTTTCATAGATCCAGGTGTACCGAATCGATTGTAATCTTACCACGTGGATGCAGATACCCTAAAGAAGGTCTTGACACCCATGAAATTTCATTTCTCTACAATTTTTTTCTAAACATTTTGTTCTTTTTTTTTTTATATATATAAATCATGACGTTCAGAGAAAACTTTCGTAGACGAGACACCCCCGAAGTCGTACGTTATTATTATCTTAAG